GGACCCCTAACCGTGGCTCCAGAAAAATGTATTGTGGAATACATGCGCAGCAATACATGCTGTGTTCCTTATGTAGAGCACGATGTGCTCCGATAGAGGTAAAACAACCGATGGTGTGCAATCTAGGTGGTGCAGTATATGATGCACAATACATGTGGTGCATTACATGTGCTGCAAGATATGCGGTGCTATACATGCGGTGCGCAATGTATACGGTGCACTCGACGTGGTGCAATTTAAGTGGGGCACTGAATGCTGTGATAGCTGTGCGAAACAGCATCTGAACTGCAAGCTGTGTGGTGCCATATGTGTTGCGTAATGTATACATGTATACTATATATACATATATACATGTATGGCCAGCCCCCCCCCCCCCCCCCCCCCCCAGCACCCGCTCTACGCCTCCTCCCTCTTCCACGAAGCTGGAGACGCATCCCCTTCTCATCATCCCTGCTCCTTTCCGCTCCTCTTCCCGAGTCACGTGTTGCAAGCGGAATGTTTTTTTCTAGCGCAACCTCAGAAGATGCAAGCGTCCGCTTCCCCCGCCTTTTGGAGAACAGGTATAGGATATCAGCGGCAGCGCTAACAAGAACGATAAGCGAACCATATGACTTCTAAGGCATTCCAGGCATGCACAGGGATGCTAAGTGACGATCGCTGTGCAGGCTCAGGGATCCCAGGGATTCCAAGGATGCGAAGTCACGATCCCTGAGCAGGCTCAGGGACCCCAGGGATTCCAGGGATGCGAAGTCACGATCCCTGTGCAGGCTCAGGGATCCCAGGGACCCCAGGGATTCCTAACCCTCCAGCAAAACCGACCTGGGGATCCACCAGCGATCCCGCGCTCAGAATCCCTGGGATCCCTGAGCCTGCTCAGGGATCGCGACGTCGGTTGTCAGCAAACCATATGATTTCTCAGGGATCCCAGGGATTCCAGGATGCAAGTCACGATCCCTGAGCAGGCTCAGGGATCCCAGGGATTCCAGGGATGCGAAGTCACGATCCCTGTGCAGGCTCAGGGATCCCAGGGATCCCAGGGATTCCTAATCCTCCAGCAAAACCGACCTGGGGATCCACCAGCGATCCCGCGCTCAGAATCCCTGGGATCCCTGAGCCTGCTCAGGGATCGCGACGTCGGTGGTCAGCAAACCATATGATGTCTCAGGGATCCCAGGGATTCCAAGGATCCAAGTCACGATCCCTTAGCAGGCTCAGGGATCCCAGGGATTCCAGGGATGCGAAGTCACGATCCCTGTGCAGGCTCAGGGATCCCAGGGATCCCAGGGATTCCTAACCCTCCAGCAAAACCGACCTGGGGATCCACCAGCGATCCCGCGCTCAGAATCCCTGGGATCCCTGAGCCCGCACAGGGATCGCGACGTCGGTTGTCAGCAAACCATATGATTTCTCAGGGATCCCAGGGATGCGAAGTCACGATCCCTGAGCAGGCTCAGGGATCCCAGGGATTCCAGGGATGCGAAGTCACGATCCCTGTGCAGGCTCAGGGATCCCAGGGATCCCAGGGATTCCCAACCCCCCAAATCTTTGCGAAGTCGCCAGGCCGATTTTGCTGGAGGGTCAGGAATCCCTGGGATCCCTGGGATCCCTGAGCCTGCACAGGGATGGTGACGTCGCATCCCTGGAATCCCTGGGATCCCTGAGCCTGCTCAGGGATCGTGACTTGGCATCCCTGGAATCCCTGGGATCCCTGAGACATCATATGGTTTGCTGACCACCGACGTCGCGATCCCTGAGCAGGCTCAGGGACCCCAGGGATTCTGAGCGCGGGATCGCTGGTGGATCCTCAGGTCGGTTTTGCTGGAGGATTAGGAATCCCTGGGATCCCTGGGATCCCTGAGCCTGCACAGGGATCGTGACTTCGCATCCCTGGAATCCCTGGGATCCCTGAGCCTGCTCAGGGATCGTGACTTGCCATCCTTGGAATCCCTGGGATCCCTGAGAAATCATATGGTTTGCTGACAACCGACGTCGCGATCCCTGAGCAGGCTCAGGGATCCCAGGGATTCTGAGCGCGGGATCGCTGGTGGATCCCCAGGTCGGTTTTGCTGGAGGGTTAGGAATCCCTGGGATCCCTGGGATCCCTGAGCCTGCACAGGGATCGTGGCTTAGCATCCCTGGAAGCCCTGGGGTCCCTGAGCCTGCTCAGGGATCGTGACTTCGCATCCCTGGAAACCCTGGGATCCCTGAGCCTGCACAGGGATCCCAGGGATTCCAGGGATGCGAAGTCACGATCCCTGTGCAGGCTCAGGGATCCCAGGGATCCCAGGGATTCCGAACCCTCCAGCAAAACCGACCTGGGGATCCACCAGCGATCCCGCGCTCAGAATCCCTGGGATCCCTGAGCCCGCACAGGGATCGCGACGTCGGTTGTCAGCAAACCATATGATTTCTCAGGGATCCCAGGGATTCCAGGGATGCGAAGTCACGATCCCTGAGCAGGCTCAGGGATCCCAGGGATTCCAGGGATGCGAAGTCACGA